TAGTAACCAGTCTCCATCCTGACCCATCTCATTACTAGAAATTCAGGTGTGACCAAAGGGCTCGTGAATAACAGACACTCCTATCACTCGGGCAATTCCAAGCATTTAAGAAGCTCCATCCCATGGAGAAGGAAATAGCAACCCACTTCAGTATCTTGCCTAGAGAATTCTATGGACAGAGGAGCCTCGCAGGCTCCATGGGGAGTGACTACACTTTCACTTTCTTTCAGTTGTTCACATGCCACAACTAAAAAGAACCTGCATGCCACAGCTAAGACCTAGTGCAGCCGAATAAATAAAAACAAATAATAATATATTTTTTTAAAGTTTCATCCCAGGAACCTGGGACAAAAACCAGACAAATTCTTTGTTATACAATAGTAGCAGAGCCTAGTCTTGACCCTATGTCTGCAGAATTCAGGTCGAAGGCTTTCCTTGCCACCCCACACCTGGCCCCCAGCACCTGGCCCCACCCTGGCTTTCTGGCTGTGCATTTAGGAGTGAGAAATCATGATGTATTCTGACCTCCCAAAGACCTGGAGAGAGGCCACAGGCTTTTGAAAACCACACCCATCCTTCTGTTTGCCCACCTGAAACCAGACCAAACTCATTACCCAACCACCACGTTTCTAAAGTGACAAAGCTGAAGCAGGAAGAATGCTGGCACTCAACCCTGTTCCTCTCCCATCTCAGCAGAGAGCTTGTCTTTGGGACTGGACAGTGCAGGGCTTCAGAAAGCAAGCCAGTGGGAGGTGCCAGTACAGACCACGATGCAGAGGTCTGCATCTATCCTTAATCTGCATTTTAAAGAAAAACCCTCCATTCCACACAGCTCTCTGCCCTAGGGAGCTGTTTCAAAGTGTGCAAGCCAAAATGGAATGGTGGATGAGAAGTGATTTCAGAGCAACAGAATCCAGGGTATGCGGGCTGTCAAAGGACAGTTTGTCCACTTTCATTATCAGCGCAAGCTCTGCTGCCTTCCAGTGACCGGGGGAAAGGATTCTCATTTACTATACACCTACCACGTGGCATGCAATATGTGAGGCATCTACAGATGCCACACATCACGTAACCCTTACTATTCTGCGGACTGTACCTAATCACGCTAATTTAATAGAGAAACAGGTCCTAAGAGATTAAAGAACTCACCCAAAGATATGCAGTTAGGAAGAGGCAAAGCTATGATTCAAACCCCAGTTCAATTTCAAGACCCATTCTATTACCTATACTAGGCTGCCTCCAGGAGCTGGTCATAGCTGGGAAAATGTTGCCATCATTTCTGTTAGCTTGCTCCTTTATTAAGGATATTTTTGTACAAATAGGTAATTAAACTGTGAGCCTCAGAAAACCTGTAATTTTGAAAACCCAGGGCAGCAGAACAAAGCTCAGCAAAGAAAAGCTTCATTTACATTAACCCAGCTGGGAGATTACTCAGGTCATTTCTCTGAAAGCCCTCTGACCTTCCTCTGAGTTGTTTAAACATTAGGCTGGTTTCAAATCTTAATCCACTGCTAACTCAGGCCTCTGGTGCAGAACAAATGCCCTATTAATGATAAAAGTCGCAATCACATAAAAGGCTCGCTGTGGGATTATAAGAGCAGCCCTATTTCCAGCTCCTATTTCCAGTTTTTATTTTACCTCCTTTTAGTGGCCTCTGTTGGTAACACGTGGTTACCTCTCTACTGGGCTAGGCAAGCAGGAGGCTAGAGCCGGCATTAGCTCAGCGCTAGTGCCACCTGGTGGTCAGCCTAGGTGTCTGCAGGTCCTCCTAGCGTTTCAGATAAAAGGGTGGTGGTGTTCATTATAAGCTTCCCTCATAGCTCAGTTGGTAAAGAATCCTCCTGCGATGTAGGAGATCCAGGTTCGATTTCTGGGTCGGGAAGATCCGCTGGAGAAGGGATAGCCTACCCACTCCAGTATTCTTGGGCTTCCCTTGTGGCTTAGCTGGTAAAGAATCCGCCTGCAACGTGGGAGACCTGGGTTGGAAAGATCTCCTGGAGATGGGAAAGGCTACCCACTCCAGTATTCTGGCCTGGAGAACTCCATGGACTGTATAGTCCATGGGGTCACAAAGAGTCGGACATGACTGAGCGACTTTCACTTCACTTTCAATGAATAAATTAGGTTTACTTTTTACTATCATATTCTTATAGTAGTAAAATATAAAACTGATCTGGTCTCTTTCTCCGGGTCATCAAACAGGTGTTTTCACTATAGCACAGGAGATGCTTGTGTGGGGAAGGCAGTGAATGAGGCAGCCACCTACTTATAATACTGCAAGATTCTAAGTTACTGTCATGACTGATTCTTGAACGTGGACAATTGTGTTTATTTTGACTTCATGCGGGTAGAGCACAAAAATGCGTTGGCCTCTGATTCTTTCATTCTTTCAGATCCCTGGCCCCACTGATACCTAGATGTAAACGCCATCAATGTACAGGTGGCATCGCTTCCTTCCTCTTTAGGTCCACAGTCTAACACCCCAGCCCAGGAAGAAAATGAGAGGGGTCAGTGTATCCCAGACCATTTTCACAATTGATTTTTATTTCCTTCTCAAGGCACTTTTCAGCCTTGTTATATATTTGGGGAAATTACTTGGCCTTTCTGAGCATCAGTCTTCCCCATCTGTAAAACGGACATAATTATGTTTGTTTTGCTGGATGATAGTAAGAAACAAACCTAATTGTGGAAATAAATGAAGATTGTCCAAATGAGAACCAACAGAGCTTGCTACAGCGGGGGAGCCAGACACCAACAGTGAGTTTGCAGAGACGCAGAAGCAGACAGAGTGGGAAAGTTTTACAATTAAGACATCCTGTGTGCTCTGGTTGGAGGTTGTTGCCATGGGGAAGCTGGAGGCGGGCTGACTAGAAGCAGGGGGCATCTGATGTGACTGGTTCAGGGAATATTTTTTGGCTTAGTTCTGAGGTGGAAGTGGGGGCAAAAGTTAGGGAAGCTGGCAGTCAATGACTGAGTCCTGACCATCCTGGTCCATTACTGCAGAGGCTATGATTTGGCTGTGCCGGTTGCTGCAAATGCTGTGGGTAGGAATTCTGCTGTTACATGTAGTCTGGCCACTGTCCTATATATTCCATCTTTCACGATGCATTTAAGGCTTGTCACATGGTAAATGACATGCACAGATACTCAGTGAACGGTGATCATTAGTATTATAGTTCGCCTCTATAAAGTGACTCTAAAGTAGTGACTGAGCTGGACTTCAGCGTCTGCTTCCTGGCCACTGTTCTCTCTGTTCCAGTCAGGGTCGGATCGGGAAAGCAGAAACTGTACCACCTATTTAAACAAAGATAATTCAACATGGTAAATGGGTTACAGGAAGAGGAAGACAGGGGAAGTTAAAGGAGGACAATGAGGTAATACAGAGCTACTTCAGGAAACAACTGCTGCTCTTCCGGCTGCAGGAACAATTAGAGATTGACGCTATTGGAACTCAGAAGCCCAAAGGATGGGCTTCTCGGAGCAGAGCCCAGACCTCCCATGAGGGCGGTGCTGCTCCGTTACCCGGGTCCAAGCTCGCTCTGCTTGCCGCACAACAGGCCAATGAATTCGAGATAAGGGATGGAGTCAAGCAAGAGACTTTAATCAGGGACCCAGATGATTGAGAAGATGGCAGGCTGATGCCTCAAAATAACCATCTTATTGGGGTCTGGATGCCAGCTTCTTTTATAGACCGGAGATGGGGGGAGGTGAGGAAGCAAAGTAAAAAGTCCATTAATCTTGCAAACATCTCCTAGAATGGCAAGCCTCAGGCAGGGGATGTGCTAATTTCTTCCTTCCTGCCATCCACAGGTGGACAGGGTCCTGAACAAAGTCTCTTTAGTTTAACAGTCAGGCAGAGGGGGCAGGATTCTCTGAGGCAGGCCATTCTGATAACAAAGGCAATGAAGAGCAAATCAAAGAAACTGTTCCAACATGGAGTTGAAAACTGGCTTCTTCTCTACTGGTGCTGGCACCTCAGAAGCCCCCAGGAGGGGCTGAAGGAAGGGGACCCAGATGGTCAAGCAGCAGACTGGTGCAGGCATGCCTGAGGGGTCACCATGAGCCTGGTTCAGGGAGACTGGAAGATCCCTGGAAACTGGAACCAGTTGTTTCTTGCGAGAATATCTCCTGCCATATTAGTAAACAAGAAATGTCACAGCCATCAGTGATTTCTAGCCTCCAAATGTGAATGCAATCTCCCCAACCTGCAATCTGGCAGATGCTACCACCCGCTACAGTGATTGCTGAGGAGCTGGGGGATTGCAAGAAGGTGAACAAGGAAACAGGATTGGCCCCAGATAGCTGAGGTGCATATGAAAGGAATGAATTCAGTTATCCCAGAGGCTTGCATCTTCCCATACATAGAATGCTATATTCCCTAACTTGATACTTGATCTGTGATGTTCAGACTGCCTTCTCCCTTTGTTGCAAACTTGTTGCAAGCCTGACTTACCCACTGCCTCCTTGGAGTAATTTTCTCAGAGCTACAGAGATGCTGTCTCCCAGGCTCAAGAGTTCTAAAAAGTCCCACCAAATAAAATAACTCTCTACTTTCAGGTTGTGACTGTATTTTAGTCGACATTCTGAAACCAACTATGGCTGCAGGGTGAAGAAGCATGGTTGCAGTGACAGTGGTGAGCCAACAAGAAGGAGCTTCGGGGCATCCTCTGTCCCTCTCCTCCTTCTCATTCCTGAACCAAGAACTTCCCATTCCTTTCCTTAGCAGAGTCCAAACTAGGTGTTTCCAGTCTACAAAGTTAGACTCTTCCCTGAGATTATTGGGATGGAGACCTGGCCCATTCTTTAGGGAGGCTGGGCGCTGGCTATACTTTCATCCAGGGGCAACTGCCAGAAACAGTACCAGGCATGATGAACGTCAAAATGAATCAAACATGGTCCCTTCCCTAGAGGAGTTCATATATTGGTATATATACCAATCAGTATAAGCTAATGTGAACATAAAGTTAAGTTGATGGTCTCATGAAATCACTAATGCCTAGCTCTGTCTGTGAAGGTCTCAGAAGACATTCCAGAGGAGGTGGCATTTAACTTGAGCCATGGAATAGAAGTTGGCCAGGAGGGTGAAGGAGTGAGAGGATATTCGAGGCAGAGGCCAGCGCCTGTGGATGGCCTGGAGGTAGGCACACGAGAGCACCCGTTTGGAGATCTGTAAGGAGGTGTGTCAGGCTGGGGCAGAGGGCTGAAGACAGGGCGAGGAGGATGGAGCTCAGAGATGATCAGCCTGCATCATCTGGCTCCCAAAGGGCCTGAGACGACCCTACAGAGATGGGGGACATGGGCAGGGAGGGACATGACCCAGCCTGCAGTTACATAGATCATTCTAGCAGCTGTGTAGAGGGTAGATAGGGAAAGGGAGCTGGTGAGATTTCAGGCAGAAAAGCTACTTAAAAGCTGTGTCATAATACTCAATAAGGGACCTTCTAGATCCCTCCCAAGCCCAAGACTGATTCAAAGCAGTGAACATGAATAAACACAAGCAGGAGGATTGTGCCTAAGCTTTGCAGATAACTCCTGCCCGGCAGAGGCACCTTGTTAGACATGCCAGGACCACATTCCAAGGACTGATGAGGCAGCCAGGGGACTGAGTGGAGGTGGTGGAGGGAAGCCAGGCTGGGCAGGAGGAGGCTGCACATTCTGGATGTACCAGCCATCAGTGAGTCTGGCTGGACACCACTCCTTGGGTGACTGAAAGCTGGCACAGACTTTGAGGCAGAGCAATGATTTGATCTTGAACTTCTTGATGAAGGTGAAAGAGGAGAGTTAAAAGGCTGACTTGAAACTCAACATTAAGAAAACTAAGATCATGGCATCAGGTCCCATCATTTCATGGCAAATAGATGGGGGAAAAGTGGAAGCAGTGACAGATTTAATTTTCTTGGGCTCCAAGATCACTGCGGATGGTGACTGCAACCACGAAATTAAAAGACGCTTGCTCCTTGGAAGGAAAGCCATGATCAACTAAGACAGTGTATTAAAAAGCAGAGGCATCACTTTGTCGACGAAAGTTCATATAGTCAAAGCAATGGTTTTTCCAGTAGTCATGTACAGATGAGAGAGTTGGACCATAAAGAAGGCTGAGCACTGAAGAACTGATACTTTTGAATTGTGGTGCTGGAGAAGTCTCTTGAGAGTCCCTTGGACTGTAAGGAGATCAAACCAGTCAATCCTAAAGGAAATCAACCCTGAATATTCACTGGAAGGACTGATGCTGAAGCTGAAACTCCAATACTTTGGCCACCTGATGAGAAGAGCCAACTCACTGGAAAAGACCTTGATGCTGGGAAAGATTGAGGGCAGGAGGAGAAGGAGATGGCAGAGGATGAGATGGTTGGAGAGCATCATTGACTCAATGGACATGAATTTGAGCAAACTCTGAAAGACAGTGAAAGACAGGGAAGACTTGCCTGCTGCAGTCCATGGAGTCACAAAGAGTAGGACACCACTTTGTGACTGAACAACAACAAATGACTTAATCAGAGGCTGTGCTTCAGAAGTATTAGAGGGGAGCTGTATGTAGGAAGGATTCAGGTAAGAAAGGAGTCCTGTCATAATACTGCATTCAGACCAGTGATGACAAAGATCAGAATCAGCTTAGTAGCTTTGGGAATGGAGAGGGTGGACCAACATTGGAAGAGAGACTTATGGGAACTGGTGAGGAAATGGGGAAGTAGGAGTCAAAATGCTCCCAATTTCTTTGTTCCCATGAATGAGAGGGTGATAGAAATTGGGAAGGCAGGTGAAGGAATAATTGCAGTGCCAGCTGTTGGTATCTGAATATCGGATTGCCTTTTCCAGTTGTATTCATGTCACTGGTGGTGTTCTGTGATGGAGCCAAACTCATCACTTGTGACTTCGATGAGGGTTATAGAGCAACAGGTGAGGGACCAATGGAAAAATGAGGCGTAAGTCTCCAAGAAGACTTTGATTTCTGGTAATAATTTTTGTTGCAACCATAATCATAACAGCACTCCATTTATTTTACATTCCTGTTTGAAAGTGTCCCATTAGGCCAGTTTCATGGAGGACACACTAACTCACTCCTGGTAGTACTGTGAGCACAACACTTTAGAAAGCAACAGGGTAATGTGCGCAAATCCCACTGCTGGGAATTCATCCTAAGGAAATGCACGTTTTTAAAGTAAAAGCTGAGAGCCCAGAGAAGTTCATTAAAGTGTTGTCTACGCTAACCAAAAATAGAGAAAACATAAAACTCCTATGGAAGGAAATGGTTTGGTAATTGATGCTATGATGATTCAATGAAATATCATGAGCCTATTAAGATGCAAACTGCAATTATACTGATGGGGGAAATGTGTAAACAAGTTAGATATGATAAGTAGGAGTAGAGAGAGCAGAGTACAAAACACTTTGTATGCTGTAATGTAACTGAATTTGTGTGTGGGTGTGGATAAAGCCTGGAAAGTAATTGGAAGAAATAAAAGTAGATATTTCTGTAAATAGCATGAGCTCAGGGGTCAGAATGCCGGGCTCATATCTCATGATTTGCTAGCCTGTGATACCATGGATGATGTCTTTACTTTCTCTTAGGTTCAGTTCCTTACCTACAAACTGTGGGTAACAAATGGGCATAATAAAAATACCCATCTCGAGGAACTGAAAGCATCCAAATGAGATGATTCACATAAAAGCTCAATAAATGTGCCTGTTATATGGGTGATTTCTATTTTAAATATATTATAAGTAGATTACATCAATATCTTAAAAAATGCACAAGTGATAGATCATCGTTCTCTGTAATGGAGTTAAATAGACCCACGTGGAATTAAAAAAAACATTGAGAAGAAAATGTTAGGGGCTGGGTTCTCCATGTTGTCTTTGTAATTTTGTTTCTGTTTTGTCCTTGCATTGTAATCCTACTTGACGTGGGGCAAAGTCTGAGAGTGAAATAAAAATAATACCAAAAAAAAATAGCAAAGAAATTCTTACTCAGTGCCTTAGCTGGGACTCTTAGCTGCTTTCCTGTCCCCACTGTTTGAAGTACAGATTTAAATAGCTTAATCTCATCCACTTTCCTTCCCAAATGGCAGATGTTTAGAGATCAGCCAGACAGCTGCAAAGTGGACAGGGTGGGGGCTTCCTTGGTGGTTCAGTGGTGAAGAATCCACGTGCCAAGGTGGGAGACACAGGTTCGATCCCACATGCCGAGGAGCAACTAAGCCCATGTACCACAACTATTGAGCCTGTGCTCTAGAGCCCTGGAACCACAACTACTGAGCGTGTGTGCCGCAACTACTGAAGCCTGCACACCTAGAGCCCGTGCTCCACAGCAAGAGGAGGGATCACCAGGAGAAGCCCATGCTGCAACTGGAGGGTGGCCCCGGCGTGCTGCAATTAGAGAAAGCCTGCTTAGCAATGAAGACCCAGCTCAACCAAAAATAAATAAACAAATAAAATTATTAAAAAGCTGATGGGGGAAGGTGCAGGAGGAAGGCACAGGCAGGAAGGGGCTGCTTGTGAACTCGGTTACTGCCATGTGAGGTGTGCATCACTGGGCAGGAAGAAGAGACGGGCAGTCACTTCTGAGAACCAACAGGTTGTCACCAACGACACACGTGCAGTTGTGGCTTCACTGGGGCGTCAGTAATTGGTACTATCTCTCTTCTCTTCCATTTAGTCTGTAAGAAGTATGTTCAAAGGTGCCTACAAAGAGTCAGAACAAACATTCCTTGCCATGTGATCACCCTCTTCTGTGCCCAACTTTAAAGAAAAGGAGAGTATAGCCGATTCCTCTTTGATGCCAGTGTTTCTCTTACTAGCACAAAAGATTTTAAACTCCTATAGTGTAGACCCTGCCTCATCTTCAGCTGTACATCACTGACTGCTTTGAGTACAACCTAGGGATTAATACTCTGCTCTAAAAATGACCCAAGGGCTCCATCTGCATCATGAATAAAAGGCTGCTATTTCTCAGTATCAGGTTTCAGTGAGAACCGGCTGGACAAACCCCCAGGACATCAGATCTGTGCAGGCACAAGCCGCAGGAGCCCAGGCACCTGCTGCTCCCTGAATACTTCTGACAGCAGCAAGCCTGGAGATCCACACCTGGCAATTACACTACTCAGACTCATTGTTCAAAAATATCACCCATGTTCACAGAGATGTTCGCCATGCATCATTTTAATAGCAAAGGGTTGGAAATCACACAAGTGTCCAAAAGTAGGGGATTGAGTAAATGAGTTTGGACAACAATAAGCAAAAATTATCTCTACACAGCTATGGAAGGATATTCTAGATTCATAGGTTAGTTAAAAAATAATAGGTTGGGATTTTCCCTGGTGGCTCCGTGGTAAAGAATCTGCCTACCAATGTAAGAGACACAGGTTTGATCCCTGATCCGGGAAGATTCCACAAGGAGCAACTACTGAGCCTGTTCTCTAGAGCCCAGAAGCTGCAACTACTGCCGCCCACTCATCCTAGAGCCTGTGCTCTGCAACAGGAGAAGCCATCACAATGAGAAGCCTGTGCACTGCAGCTAGAAAAAGCCTTCACAGACAGCAACAAAGATCCAGCACAGCCAAATTCTGATAAAATATGGCAGGTTAAACACTTATGCTAGTGCTACTCTGTCCTGAACTAAAAGAACAGCAAGAGTATGAAAATGCAGAAGACCACAACGTGAAAGACAGTAGGAAAGGAAATAGAATAAGGTTTTGAAAAGTGGAAAGTTGCTAGGTTAGGTCTAGGTTCAAATACTGTGTGTGTTAGTCGCACAGTCATGTCTGACTCTTTGCAACCCCATGGACTGTAGCCCGCCAGTCTCCTCTGTCCACAGAAATCTCCAAGCAAGAATACTGGAGTGGGTTGCCATTTCTTCCTCCAGGGGATCTTCCCGGCCCAGGGTTCGAACCTGGGTCTCCTGCCCTGCAGGCAGATTCTTTTACCATCTGAGCCACCAGGGAAAGCTGCTGGCTGATTTCATGTACTAAGTCAAGCTAAATTTTAAATTCATAGTAGGAGAAGCCAGAAGTTAGGACATTCATACCACGGAGCTCCAGAATGGGGCAGAAATGGGCAGCATATGGTACTTCTAGGGTGGGTGTCCAGGGTGATATACAAAGTGGAGAATTTGTTGAAATTCCATATAAAAAGCAGGTAGACCCCAGGTTCTCATTTCCACTCAAACCTACAAGT